CTTATTTTCATACAAGATAACATTGAACAATCATACCAATCTATTTTAGCTCTTAAATCATCATACAAAAATGTTAACTAATATATTTATATTCATCATTACATCATATTTCATTATCTATTAAAAATGTGTATAATCATGAATTTTATTATAACAAACCAAAATTTTTTTTTCTGCTTGTCTATAAAAAGATATATCAGGATCATTTAAATCACATAATTAAAATTAAACTATTTAATCTAATTAAGATGTATGTTGATATTATCTAAATTATGTTCTAAACAATCTATAATCTGGAGATTGTTCAAATTGTTCTAAATACTTTTTAGCGTTTTATTCCATCAATTACAAAGCATTTGAAATTGTTACTAGTCGTTTACGTTCAAATAGAACTTTTGATTTTTGTAGTGCTTCTTCTGAATCAATTTAACCACTCATTAATATTAAAAATCAGAAATAAGGATATATATTGCAACTTTAATATAAAAATTAGATAAATATTTAATATCCTTTTCTATAATGATTAGAATATGTATTTTGTTTTAATATTGAAAAAAAATCAAATACTTATAATGTTATTAAGTTTCTCATAAAATATATGTAATTCAACTTAGTTTAATTTTTTACTAAACTTAGAATATAGTCTAGATTGCATTTAGATAATGCTCGTTCATATCTATTTATAGACGCTATATAAATGAACAAAAAATACTTTAATATATTATTATTCACTTGCAGCAAAGTAATCTTTGACTTTCTAAACTTATAGAAATAATTCTTATTCTAATTTATTATCCTTATTAAATTCAATATGTTATCCAATAATTTATGCAATTCCTTCATACATCAATAATAATTAGGATGATAAAGCTTAAGCATATTTTTTACAATTTTCTTCTAATTAAGCTTTTAATGTTTTATTCAACTAAATTAACAAAGAGTCTTTGAAATTTTATTAGATGTCAACACAAGTAAATAATTTCTATTCTAATAGTTTAATTATTAATTGCTCTTTTTCTTATAATATATATATAAGTTTATTGTAAGTTTAATTTTGATGATTGAGAAAGATGGCTTACATTTTATTAGTCATATTTTTTTTAAATTCACTTGCTGTTTAATTTAATGATTTCATAATTTTAAGTGTATTTGCCTTTTTAATAAATTAAGCAATTTCTGTATGCTTTATAATAGCATCAGCTAATTGAGATTAAAATAAAGGATCACTTTTAATCAATTTTAGTAATTGTGATTATTATTCTTTTGAAAGTCGTTAAAATTTTTATCCATTTCTTTTTTTTCTTTCATTATATGTTTAAGTTTGTTCTTTCAAAGTTTAATCATGCTTTTCAATTTCTTCTTTAGAAAATTAAGGTATTGATGTTTTAAAATTTGAAGAAGTTAATTGGGATGATTGAAGTTGATTATCGGATTATTCACTCAATTGTGATTATTTTGATCCATAGGTTTTTTATAAATCCTTTGCAAACTGAATACGAATTTTTTATTACATAAAATTAATTAAAATCAAGAATTGAACCATCTGTCTTACAAGATCTATAATTTATTTTTATTATACTCTTAAAGTTGTAATTCTCTCGCTAGCTCTAATGGTTAACATTTGTGAAATTAATTTTTAACATTATGGTGACACATTAACTTTAGTGTATACTCCTTTTTTAATTTGTCCATACAGATCTAAATCATTTGAACCTTTAAATGGAAAATGTCCTGTCAATAAAACATACAGTAAAACACCTAAAGCCCAAACATCAACTGGTTTTCCAAAATAATCTTATTTATTGACTAATTCTGGAGCCATATAACTATTTTTAAATATCAATTTTAATTACCTTGGAGTTCCACAAAATACTCCTAATTTGCAATCTCTATTCACTAAGACTGAAAATCCAAAATCTATTAATTTAATTTCATTATTATCTTTCAAAAGAATATTTTCCAATTTAATATCTCTATGTACAATATTTAAAGAATGACAATAATCAACAGCTTTTACAATTTATCTAAATATTAATTTAGCATCATCTTCATCAAGTTTTCTGTTTGGAAATTACTATGAATGGTTTAATAATTGATACTTTTAAATAAGAACGTAAACTTTTTGAACCACCATATTCAACGATTAAATTTATATCCATTTATGTTTCTATAGTATTTATATATTTTATGATATTTGGATGATCTAATAATTTAAGTATATGTATTTCTCTTTTCAATGATTATCTCCTTTATTAATTACATAATTTGGCTTTTGAATATATCTTGATTGCAATTAGCCTGAATTAAAATTAATTAATACTTTTCTGTGAGTTTATCTCTAGCTAATTTAACAGTCGCATAAGAACCTTAACCTAAAATGCTTAAAATTAAATATCTATCTAAATTGGAAATTTGTTAATTTGTAACAGTATTTGTATTTACTTATTATTGTGAACTAGATCGCGTAATTCTAATTTTATACATTTAGATGATTCATACTTAAAAAGTTCTAAAGGTTAAGTTTTAAATTTCTATTCACATTATAATTATTATGGAGCATCAGATTCCAATTATGTTACACTAGTTTTTTTTAATAAACCATCTGCTAAAGTTTCTAATTAATTTTTGGTTGATAATTTAGTTGTTCTATAAGAACCTTAAGCAGTTTTTTATCTCAGATAATGATCAGGTTTATTTTCTTAAGCACCTTAAGTAAAATACTAATCTGTAATTCTCATGCCAGTTTTAGGTCGAGGTCTTAAATTTCTTTAAGTAGGTGTTAAAATAAGTTAAGGAATTGGATTAATAGTAGTTTATTAATAGAGATCCAAAACAGCTAATTCTTAGGCTGGTCTTCTAATTGCAGAACTACAACGAGTTGTAGGTCTCACTTTAAAACCTCCTCCTTTCATAACAATATTTATATATATATAAATATAATTGTTCAATCATTATTTTTATTTAGAATAGTTATCCAACATAAATTCTTTAAAATGAATACTCGCTGGATTAGTTTCATCATATATTATATCCTCCAAATATTATGTTCCTTATTTTATCAATTCTTCTCCATATACAAGTTCTGCATAATTTAATTTCATTTTTGGCTTTGTTGGTAATAACCAATAATACCATTCTTAATCACCAAATACTTATTTAAAATTATTTACAAATGATTATTATCTACCAAATTTACCCTATCTAGATTCTATAACTGTTTAATTATCATTAATTGCTGTAATTTAATCCCAAAGCAATTAACTTACAAAAATTATAAAAAAGAAACATAATAATAGAATACCCAATATTTAACATTTCTTTATTGTTATTGTCATTAAAATTGGTATAATCTTTCTTTTTGAATTCATAAAATACTCACTAATTCCAATTGAATGAATACTCAATAATGTTAATATGTGTAAAAGCATATAAATTAAGAATAGAACAAAGTATTTTTAATTCAAAGCTCCAATACAATTATTTTCCCACTCACAATGATGATCCATTTTGAAAATACATTTATTGCATCTTTTACAATGATGTGCTCTAGGAGGTTTCCATTAATTACATTTCTTACATTTTTTATTATACATATCATGAACTAATTGCAATTTAATTGGAACATTTTTCTAAAGGACTTCTCCAGGATCAGAAAAAGAAGTTCTGATCTAACAAGTCAATAGTAATATCCAAAAAAAAAAAGCAACTACTCTTAAATTATTTAGGATTGATAATTATGAATTTTCATAAAATGATGTTGTATATAGTCCCCACACAATTAAAATATGAGTTAACAATAATAAGGTACGACCCATGTACTTTGACTTGATGGATTTAGTTTTCTCTATATTATTTTCATCTTCCATTTTTATTGATCAATTAAAAATATAGAAGTTAAATTAATTGTGAAGCTCAAAAAAATTCTTAAAAAATATGAACATTATTATATATTGATAAAATTGTTTATGTGTTTAATTCGAATTGCAAATTTATTATACAATTTGCTCGCGTAGGACACATAATATTAATTTTGAGATGAAATGAAATCAGCCATGCACTCATCACAGGAGCTGGCTTCTAACAAATTATCTCTCTCTATAAATTATATACTGGACTAAACTTATAATAAGTTATTTATGAAAAAAATAAATTTATGGGATGATATTAAATAAATCTATAGATGATTGATAAAGATCTAAACCCAAGGTAATATTATAATTCCTAAAATAGTTGTGAATATAAACATTGTAAATCTTTCTTTTAATTGAATTATACTTAAATGAAATGGAATTCGACTCCATTACCTTTTGAATTCACTTCTTACTAATATAGAGATATAGTAAAATTGAAAGAAGGTGACTCTTTTAAAAACAGAGATCTAAGAGTTTATGATAATTTTCTAGTCTATGAAGATTAAGTAATCTTATCATCAAATATAGAATCGATCCTTTTGGTTAGACTATGAAAATTGTATAATTGATTAAATACATGATCAAAAAGGAATACGCCTTGTTAAATGTTTTGATTCAGTTGAGTTTTATTGTGATACTTCTTCTTAATGGTTCAAATTACTAAAAAGACATACAATTTAAAGTGATTTTTTAAAGTACTATGTACTCATTAAGAAAATTAGTAAGGGTAGATTTACAGAAGTATTTATTTATTAAATTATCAATAGGTTTATAGAGCTAAATGTCATTCTGATGGAAATGATTATGCAGTCAAAATATTAAAAAAATCATAAATCATAGAGGAAGCTGACTTAATTGCTTTATTCAAAGAAATTAAAATATTAAGAGTTGTTTAAACTGAATTTTGTGTTAAATTTTATGAAATCTTTGAAAGCACAGAAAATATTTATATTATAATGGAACTACTCATAGGAAAAGATTTAGATGGACATATAGAAAAAACTTCATTTTTTTCAGAAGAAAAAACAGCAAAATTTATATTTAGATTAATCAAGACTATTTCATACTTACATTCTAAAGGTATTATGCATCGAGATATCAAACCCGAAAATATTATATTTAGATAAATTGATAACATTGAAAGTGCATGTCTTACAGATTTTGGATTATCTGATTTTTATCATAGTGAAGGATTTTATCTTTTCAAAAGATGTGGAACTCCAGGTTATATTGCACCAGAAATATTAAGAAATGAAAATTATGATTATAAAGTTGATGTTTATAGTGTAGGAATTATTATGTATTATGTTTTAACTGGAAAAAATCCATTTGATCATCCTAATCCAAAATAAATTGTAGTAAATAATCAATAAGGGTATATTAATTTTCATGATTGTAAATTGAGTAATGCAGGAATAGGATTTTTAACATAACTATTAAATGAAGATCAAAATGAAAGATTATCATCGCATGAGGCACTTAATCATGTTTGGTTTCAAATAGAAAAGGTTTCTAAAATAAGATAATATGTTATAAAAAAGAAGATTGAATCTAAAAAAAATTTATCTAACATTTTATAGCCAAAACAACATTTAATGCAGAAATATAAAATAGGTAATCTTAGTCCAAATGGAAAATTAACTCTTACATAAATTTATTCACCTTATCATAGTAGACAATTATCATAAAAGGATTAATTTTCTAAGGATCTGTCTAATAACTTTATGCTTACTAATAGATTAAGCTTAGAATTTGCCTAAAACAGAATATAACCACTTTTTATTTCTAAATTAAAATGAATATTTACTTTTTATTTATAATAAATGTTTCATTACTTATCTAAAATTGACAACTTCGGTGCTGAATTCAAACCCAGAATTACTCATTTAGAACATGAACATAAATCAATAATTGGAGGCCTTTTTACTTTGATAGTTTATGGTGTATGCTTGGCATATTTTATTTTTGTCTTACAATAATGGCAGACAGGATAAATACTACCAAAAATTCTTATCGAATCTGCTCTTGCTGCTTTTTCAAAATTTTAGATGCCTAATAATTTAATTGCAATTACTTATATTCGATATAAGGATTAAGATATTGATCCATTTTCTGAATAAAATAATATTTTAATGCCTATTGCAGTTATTATGGAAAATAATAAACCAATATCTTTTTAATCCATTCTAAATAATAATGAAACTTCTGTTTATGGAACAAATTTAGTTGAAATGTAATAAATGGAATTAGTAAAAAATATGCGTAATGATAAAACTTAAGAAAACAATAAAGTATATCTTTTATTAATTACAACATGTAAAAAATAATATTTGAAACGTAACTAAACATGTGCTTCTGATTCTGAAATTACAAGTTTTTTGAATCTAGGCTTAATTCCAATCGAAATTACTGTCAAATTATAATAATTTAGTTCATCTAATTAACAATTATATGAAGTTGAGAAACAATTGTAATTTCTCCTTTAAGACAATTTAACTTTAAAAGCAGATCTTTTATTTTAAAATACCAAATCTATTATTGATGATCATCCTTTATTTTCAAATCAAAAACATTTTGTATATTTTTCTGATTTTACTGTACTTACTTAAACAATATCTAATAGTAATCTAACTAAATCTATTATATAAGATGATATTTTTATATAAATGGCATTTAAAATTGATCCTATTGAAACTATTCAACAAATTACTTATGTTAAAATTGGTGAAATGTTAGCTGATGTAGGATCAATTGGAAGTCTACTTTTAACAATATCTTGGTTTATTTAATAATTTAATAAGAAAGAATTAGAAAATAAAATAATTGATGAAATCATTAGTGTTTATTATCCATAGTTTAAATAAATAACAAAGATTAAAAATTTTATGGGAAAGACAATAGAGATTAGACATGAGAAATAGAAAATTAATTAAGAAGTTTTTAAAAAATGGTATTCTAAAGTAAGATAAAATGCTATGATTAAAATATCAATAGTAAATTAGCTTCTTGAAATTTCAAGATTATATTTTATTTTGAGATCATAATCAAATTTTTAAACAATGCTTCGATTCTAAGATTATGGTATTTAATTGCCTAATAAAATATTTGAAAAATAGAGAGAAGAAATAAATAATGAACTACCTTCTAAAGATTTTAAAGTTGAAGATTATGATTTGGAATCTTCTAAGATAATAACTAGTAATTTATGTGATGAAGATCTAAATATTTTGAGTTATAAGATAGATTCAATGAAATGAATTTGATTATAATATATAATATTAAAAACATCAATTAAAAAAAGGTGATGAAACGATGAATTATTTAATTTATTAATGAAAATATCTGAAATAATTGATTGCTATAAAAATAGTTAATCTAGAATTTCAATTACATCCAATCTAGTAGATGTAATCATCAATAATAGAGAATATTATCGATTTATAGAGATCTTACAACAAAGGGTTAATTTTCAATAAATAATTAATTCAATCTGCAAAGGTAATTCTTTACACATTCATAATTTTGGGACATTTAATTTTGAATTGATATGTTTAACATCAGAATGAATTCCAATAAAGAAAAAAACACAATTAAAATAGTTGCCAAAACCATATCAGAACATTAGACCTTATTTTATAGTTGATTCATGCTGATAGAAATAATTATCTCATTATTCCTAAAAAAAATGAAATTAAAAAAAGTAAAGGGTTGGGAGGCATTTATAATTAAGGATATGCAACACAATTTTGCAATCCATAAACATTCTTGAATATTTTTTATATTGATAAATTAACAATTGAAACTATTCTTAAGACATTTATATAGGCAATTAATGATTTAATTAGATTGAGACATGATGTAATTTTAGAATTAGAATTGAGTTTGATTCTAGTTAAGAATAAAATTTGAAGTATATGTTTGATGAAATGTTTGTAAATTATATGAATCAACCTTAATTTACAGATATTTGCAGATAATGTTTAGATTAATTATCGATAGGATATTAGTTTTTAAAATCTAAACCTATAACATGTCGATTTTTTAAATAGAAAAAATAAATAAAAGATAAGAATTCAAATTAAATTTACTTTGTACCTTGTTCCCCATATAGTTTAGTAATTAATCAGAAAACTTTGAATTTAATGAATATAAAAGATATAACATCTATATAAAAATGATTAATTAAATTATGGATTCACAAATAATATTTTCTAGATAAGTAACAATAGAAGATTGGAAACAAGAGAAATTAAACTAATAAGTAGTTTTAATTTTAGGAGTTGGAGGTATAGGTTCTGTAGCAACAACTAACTTACTCAGATTAGGTGTTAAAAAGATCTTTATGGTGGATTATGACCATGTTGAACTTCATAACTTAAATAGATAGACACTATTTTCAAAGTAAATGAATAATTTTAGTATTTTAGTAAAGATGTTAATCATTAGAAAGTTGAAGCAGCTCTTTAAAATGCTTAATTTCATAATGTAGGAAATACAGAAATTAAAATTTTTGATTTAGATGCTGTCTAAAATTGGGATAAGATTGTTGAATTAGCATCTTAATCAACTGTGATTTTTAATTGCATTGATTATGGAGATTATTGGGATGCTGCAGTATAAAGTTTATGTCTTTATTACAATATTCCAATGATTATTGCTGGAAGTTTTGCACAATCTTTTATGGCTGAAATCTATTTAGGAACACCTTGTTATGTATGTATGACAGATGGTCTAAAAGAAGAATATTTAAATCAAATAAGTAAAGAAAACATTACCTCAGTTAAAAATATTTCATTTTTACCTCAAAATAATAAACCATAAGGTAAATCTCATCAAGTATTATGTTCAACTGCTGGTAATTTTGCTACATAATTATTTTTAAACTACATTAATGTTTTGGAAGGCAGTTAAACAACCAAGTAAGAAATTTAATATGAAATTTTAGAAAAGTTTTGTTTTATTTAACAACATTTGAAGTTGTAAATTTTCCCGTTTTCTCAAAAAACAATTGTTCTATTTGTAGATATTAAGAGCCTATAAAAGAGTAGTAAACATTATCAACAGAAACTAACTAAGAACAAAAATGAGAATATTTTTATGTTATTCTATTTTTATCATAAATCATTTATCATTTGGTTCACCAGTAACATAAATTTTTACTATGTCTCCAACATAAGCACCTTTCAACATCCAATCCTCATCACCTAAGAAAAAGACTTATTAAATATCATCAACCACAACCTCCAAATTTTTACCTATATTAATCCATCCTTCTTTAATAAATCCCTTTGCTTATTAAATATTTAAATATATATACCTTTAATTCTTGCCATTAAATTTTAATAAGCGGTCACTACTTCAATAGTAGTATCTCCACAATCACTTGCTACTCCATCAAATAATTTTGCAAATATTTACACTCCTGATACTATATGTTCTAAATCTTTAGTTTTAAGATCTTCTATTGCTTATTAAAATTAATCTTGAAATCCTGTCACTGTAGTTACACATTTTAATACATCAGGAATTGCTTCTAATAATCCAATTCCTTAATATTTCCTTTCATAAATATACCTAAGGCATAACCAACTAAGAAATCCTAAAAATGGTTTTGAGATAACTCAATCTCCTTAAACTCTTGAGAAGTTTATAAAAATGATTCTGTTGCCAATCCTGTTGCCAAAAGAACTAATAGTAAAATGCCTTTCATATTATATATATTTTTTTTTATTAAATAAAATGATTTATCTTTCTTGTTTGTCATTTATTTGGACGAAAAATAAGAATACATAATATATTTGTTTTTTAAGACATTGTGCTTATATGAATTCATTATGATAATTTAATTATCGTAAGTAAATTTATATATTTATTGAGTAAAAAAAGTATTTTTTAACATTAATAACTATATATTTATAATAATTAAGAATAATATCTGCTGGTTGTTGGTAAAAATTATTTCGTTTATTAAACTTAATAGCAACATCAAAATTACTAATGTATTAATAAATAATTTAATCATTTAATAATTTAGAATCATTTTTTTTTATACAGATTAATTCTATGCAGAATATTAAGTTATAGAATAATTTAACCTACGCAATGATCTAATAAAAAATATTTTCTCGATATTCGTTTCCTATTTCAATTTTGATTGATTGTGAAGATTTTTTTTTGTTTTGAAAATTTACAAAAATAATTCATTTTGAACTATTACTCATGGATCTCCTCATTTTAAATAAATTTTTGTTCCTAAAAAATCTGCCTCTATTAGTAAATTCCAATTCACCTTCGCCATTTTATTTTTAAATTAATCCTGGTTTGTTAAAATACTATTATAAGTATTTTAAAATCATAAAATGCCTTACTTATTTCATCTGTAAATTTCTTTCAAATATAGAGGATTAAAACCAACTCATCATATTTTTATAGAAGCTATTTAAAATCAGTTTTTAGTCCTAACTGAGAGATGAGTTTTTTATTAGCTTATTAAAATCTATTGAAGAGTCATACGAATTCAGATTTTAAACAATTTATACTTGAAAATTGTGACAAAAATATTAGCAAAGGATTGATTGAAGGGATGTAATATTTAAAAGTGAATGGTTATAAATTGAAATTAATTTTAATGATAAAAATTAGACCCTGTTTTGTATGGAAATACTACATTAAATTTTTCTTGTCATTAAGATAAAGATTTCTTGGATTAAAAACCTCAGAATGGTATATATTTGGATAGATCATTATTCATTGACTGTTTGAGTGAGGGAAGTTTTTGATGTTAGAGTCTATATAAGATCACCTATACTTTGATGTATTAGTGATATGGTAGTAAATTGATTCTAATAAAATAGATATATGAAGATGCATATCATAAAATTTATTTAATAACGAATTCAATAAGTTAACTTTCATTTATTGATGCAAAAGTATTAAGTGAATAGATAAAGTAAATGAAAATTAAATGAAATTAAGAAGAAGAAGCCTGGATTGTACATAATAGTCTTGGGGAAGATTTCAAATAGAAAATTTATTATATCGATAAGTATATTAAATGAATAGATTATTTCACTAATTTTATTTATATCAAAAAAAAAAAAAACAAAATCTTTAATTTCTAATATGTTATATATCATAAAGCAAAAAAATATAAGAAAAATTTTATAAAAAAAATTTCTAAAAAGAAAATTTCTGGAATTTGGGGAAGAAGTGATGTATAAATTTATTTTTTTTAATTATAATTGATGAGAAATGTAAATCGTTGATACAACTGGTTAAAAATTAATTAATTAAATAAGAGTAAATGAAGAAGAATTTATATTAAAGTATTCCTTAGGATTTAAAATGGTAGGAGGATAAGATAATTCTATAATCCTAATTTAAAAAAGAGAACGATAAAACTTGCCATCTCTTAGGGTTTGATAATTATATTATAATAAAAAAAGTAATATGGGTTTTTAAAAGTATAGGATTATAAATAAGAGGCAAAGAAATACATACGACTAGATTTTGAGATTAAGTTTGAGATTTTGAGAGAGAATGTAGTAAAAAAAAATGAAGAAGATGATTCTTTGGGTTAAATAAAAGGAATCAGCATAATAAAAGATTTAGGTAATGAAACTATATCATAATCGAAATATTTTGGAGGAGAAAAAGTTATTAAATAATGGAGAGATTATTTAAAAAACAGAATAAATTAATGGCAATTTCACCAAATGTTTAGAGTTTTTAAAAAAATTGGAAAGGGAAATTTTGCTTCAGTACTTTTTACTTAATAATATCTTTTAGGTTTATTTGGCATAGAAAATAGAGGATGGGAAAAAAATGGCCATTAAAGCATTTTCTAAGTAAGCTGCATTTGAAGAAGAAAATGGTAAATAAGCCATAGTAAATGAATTAAAGATAATGAGATAACTAAATAATTCACATATAATGTAAATGTATGAAGTTTATGAAACCTAAAATTCTCTTTATGTAGCATTAGAATTATTGGAAGGAGGGTCTTTATATGATTTGATAAAAGAGAAGACTTTACTCTCAACAGTTTAAATTCAATAAATAATGGTAGGAATTTTATAAGGATTAAATCATATGCATTAAATGAAAATCATGCATCGTGATCTAAAATTAGAAAACATTCTATTTAAATATTAAAAGTATAATTTATGTGTATATAAGATAAATGGATTCAGTTGTTATAGCTGATTTTGGGTTGGCTACAAATGTTAATGAACCAGTTTATTTATATTATAGATGTGGAACTCCTGGTTATGTTGCTCCTGAAGTTATAAATATGAAGAATATGAAAGGACATTACAGTGAAGTATGTGATATTTTCAGTCTTGGACTTGTTTTTTATTTATTATTATCTGGGAAACAAGCATTTCCTGGTAAAAGTTATACAACTGTGGTTAAACAAAATAGAGAAGCTAAAATTGACTTTAACATAAAATAATTACAATAAGTACCAAATTAAGCAATGGATTTATTATAAAAAATGCTTGAAAAAGATCCAAGTAAAAGAATCTCTGCTGCTGATTGTTTAAAACATCCTTTTCTGGTCGAAATCAATAACTAAATGAATGATGATTCATCAAATGATTCAATTGATGAAGGAGATGAATTTGGAGAAGTTGCTTCTAGAATGTGTGCTTTAAATGAAGAGTATAATAACTTTATAATATCTAATTTAGAACTACTAAATTTGATGTTTTTAGAAGAAATGCCATTATTAATTCTCCAGGTTCTCCAGGAATTATTGATACTAAATAATTAAAATAATAAAAAGCTATTGATTCCTTGAATCAACTCTAAATGAATTCTCCATTGTTAAATGGAAAAATTGAAACCATTGATAGTATACCTAATATTGCAACTCCAAAAAATAAATAAGGCTAAAGTAATTTTTAATAATCCCCTAATATTAAGCCTTCGTAATTCAAATAGTAATTATTCATTAATTAATTTTTAGAAATCTACCTTAACAATAAATTTATGATAAAATATTCTAAGAATATTCATAAAAGATAGATTGATTGATATAATTTAATACATAATATAATTTAAATGCATAAATAAATTTTTATAATTTAAATAATAAATACTCTTTCATTTAAATGAGATTAAATAAAATAGTTTAAATGGGATGCCACTGTACCAAAACAAAAGAATCATTATAATCTTAATTTAAAGAACCTTAAATATTGATTTTTTAAAATGAACCACAAAATTTAACTCAGCCTACCTCTGATTACAGAATTGAAGATTATGATTAAAATAAACCACCAAAATTATGTTTAATTAGTAATTCTAATAGAGGAATCAAAAAAACTCATTAAAATCGAAGAGAAATAGGAGGAAAGAAAGAAATATTTTCCTAATTATATATACGTCCATATTAGAAAAAATGATTTTATTATTTAAATAGTACTGATAATAAATTTATATTTAGAGTCATTATTAGTTCTGTTCTAAATATTCATAAAACTAATGCATATTTTTTTACAAATAATTTGTTGCACACATAGCTAATGGGAATATAAGCAATGATCTGAATATGATAAGTGAGCCTAAAGCTATTGGAAATCCAGTAAAAAAAGATTTAGCAAAATAATGCATATCATCTTAGAATATTGTTGCCTTTAGTTATTTGATTTTTGGTATTTGTTATTGAAAGTTTTATTCTTCTAAAATTCTTTATTATTGTTATTTCCTGTAATTGGCAATTTTAATGTCAAGAATTAATTGATCACGATTATCTTACATATATAAAATAAATAATATTAAGTTAATATCAAACATTTAAAATTTAACACGATTTATTATAACAAATGCTCACTTAATCCAATTTAGTTAAAGACCATGACAAATTACTAATTTCATTCTCTGCTTTATATTCTAGTAAGGGGTCTAAAAGAGATATTTAAAATTAGATATTACCAATAGAATTTAGATCATTTTNCAACTCCAAAAAATAAATAAGGCTAAAGTAATTTTTAATAATCCCCTAATATTAAGCCTTCGTAATTCAAATAGTAATTATTCATTAATTAATTTTTAGAAATCTACCTTAACAATAAATTTATGATAAAATATTCTAAGAATATTCATAAAAGATAGATTGATTGATATAATTTAATACATAATATAATTTAAATGCATAAATAAATTTTTATAATTTAAATAATAAATACTCTTTCATTTAAATGAGATTAAATAAAATAGTTTAAATGGGATGCCACTGTACCAAAACAAAAGAATCATTATAATCTTAATTTAAAGAACCTTAAATATTGATTTTTTAAAATGAACCACAAAATTTAACTCAGCCTACCTCTGATTACAGAATTGAAGATTATGATTAAAATAAACCACCAAAATTATGTTTAATTAGTAATTCTAATAGAGGAATCAAAAAAACTCATTAAAATCGAAGAGAAATAGGAGGAAAGAAAGAAATATTTTCCTAATTATATATACGTCCATATTAGAAAAAATGATTTTATTATTTAAATAGTACTGATAATAAATTTATATTTAGAGTCATTATTAGTTCTGTTCTAAATATTCATAAAACTAATGCATATTTTTTTACAAATAATTTGTTGCACACATAGCTAATGGGAATATAAGCAATGATCTGAATATGATAAGTGAGCCTAAAGCTATTGGAAATCCAGTAAAAAAAGATTTAGCAAAATAATGCATATCATCTTAGAATATTGTTGCCTTTAGTTATTTGATTTTTGGTATTTGTTATTGAAAGTTTTATTCTTCTAAAATTCTTTATTATTGTTATTTCCTGTAATTGGCAATTTTAATGTCAAGAATTAATTGATCACGATTATCTTACATATATAAAATAAATAATATTAAGTTAATATCAAACATTTAAAATTTAACACGATTTATTATAACAAATGCTCACTTAATCCAATTTAGTTAAAGACCATGACAAATTACTAATTTCATTCTCTGCTTTATATTCTAGTAAGGGGTCTAAAAGAGATATTTAAAATTAGATATTACCAATAGAATTTAGATCATTTTGTTTATTTTATAATTCTGAGAAATCCCAAATTAAAGCGGAAAAATCATCAGAAACACTACAAAGATGAGTTGTTGATTCAGGTGCCCAAGCTATAGCATTAACAAAATCTTTATGATTTTTTAGTTTTGCTAATGGTAGAAGTGGTTATCTAAAATTAGTATACTAATAAGAATTACCTAGTATCTAGAAGTGTGACATAATTAACGTCCATTTCGATAATAGCTAAATAATTAGTATCCATTTTATTCCATGCTAATCTAACAATTGGATTACTATTTTCAGTTTCATACAAAACTGTAGAATGATCTAAAGCTCTATGAAAATAAATATAAATTTATAACCTTAAATCAAATTGTCTACAACTGCCATCTGCTCCAACCGAAGCAAATATTTAATGATCCACACTGAAACAAATATCATATACCTCTTTATCATGTGCTATCAATTATGTAAAAACAGTTTATTTTTCAATATCCCATAATGTACAAGTTGTATCAATTGAAGCCGTTCCAATATAATTCTGTTATTTACAACTCCAATCAAATGAAGTTAATGGTGCATTGAAATCACTTGTCTAAAATAATGGTTTTATTAATTAATTATGATACATTCTTTAAGTCCCATTTAATCTTCACTTGTGCATTTTAATCATCATACTCCCAAACCTTTAAATTTTCTCCACTTGTAGCTAATAAATCAGGATACTTTCCTTCTACATCAGGAATCCATAATACTTTTGTTGGAGCATATCTATGATTGAATTTAGCCTTCTTGAAAAAAGATTCTTATTCTTTATCTAATTGTAAGATATAAACCTATTTTCAATTTAAATAGATGACTTCATTCTAAATATCTTCAATCATACTCCCTATTGCAATTCTAGATTATGGAGTGGGTTTTGATTGAAATCCCATTGCATAAATTGGCCAAGGCGCTTTGAATGTAAAAATTTGATTTTGATTCTCTTATTGCATTTAGTTTTGATTTCCTGTGTGAGCTGGCTCTTATAATGAGTTTTTTTCTGGCTATTAATTGGCTTCGTTCATTTCTTTAAAAATTATTTATAATTTAATTCATCAAACTATTTCTATAACACTCTACATTTGTTCGATAAATACTCAAATACTTGATTTGGAGGTAACTATTGTTCTATCAATTATTCTAAATATTTATTGCGCTCTTTTAATATCTTTTACTCTTCCTTTATTTTTTTTACTCTTTATTTCTCTTTTATCTTTTATTTATATAAATGAACTCCTTTTGATTGATGTTTGATTGCATTAGATTGTAAATTCATGCATTCTTTTACATTTTTTAATAATATTTCATCCTTCAATCTTAAATCACTTTGAAGCTAGAAATTTTGAATTTATAATTCACAATTTTTCTCCTCCACATTTTTTATTATTAATTGTTATTTTTTAATTTCCTCTTCCATTTCAATAAACTTTTATTCATATACATCACTCATTTATTTTACGCTTTCTAGTTCTTGTTTAATTAATTCTATTTATTGTTGGCACTTTTATTGTATTTACTACATGACAACCTGATAGCGTTCTTCTATTTTTGTATTGAGTTTTAATCTTTCTTGAATAATATATTCATCTAAATTCATTTTAATTATTTATATTGAAAATAAAATATATTGTAAAATAAGTTGACGGGGGGTATTATAAACAAGTATATAAATTGATAATATCCTAAAAAATATTTTTGATTTAATTTTATATTTTCCGAATGGATCCAAAATAAAGTGAAGATGTTTTCTCTGCATTTGTAGATGAATACTAGAAAAACTTCTTTGAAATGTTATTCAGATTTGAAAGTAAGTTCAATTTCTATAATATTTATTAGGCAAAGCTGAACCCATTAAGGAAGCATGGACAAGAGAAGATGGACGAGGCCATGGACTGACTTGTGTTATTTAAGTATATAATTAAAACTATTCCTCTAGGATGGTAATTTTTTTGAGAAAGCTGGTGTGAATGTTTCTAGAATCACAATTCCATTGAGTTAAGGAATTTTTCAGTAAATGAAAGGAAGAAGGGTTCCTGGAAGCAATTGTATTATTTAAGTAATAAATGATGTAGTGGACTAAATCGATATGAACAATCTTGGTCAATATGATACTTATGCTAATGGAGTAAGTCTTGTAATTCATCCAATTAATCCTTTCTGTCCAACTGTACATGCAAATTTCCGAACAATAAGAATAAAAGAAAGAGAGACAGGTAAAATAGTATTTTTAATAACAAATAGGAAAGGTAATTGATTCTTGGTTTGGAGGTGGTAGTGATTTGACTCCAATCTATTTATTTGATGAAGATGCTAAATTTTATCATTAGAATATTAGAGATGCTATTGTGGAAGTGACTGGAGATGATAAATTATATAGACAATTCAAAAAGGAATGTGATGAATACTTTGTTAATCATCATAGAAAAGAAGCTAGAGGAATTGGTGGTGTTTTTTATGATGATTTTAATTTGGAATCATTTGAAAAAGGATTAGAATTTTAGAAAGCAGTAGCTTATGCTAATTTAAAGAGCTATGAAGCTATAATAAATAAAAGAAAAGATACTCCTTATAATGATGAGAATGTTCGTTGGAGAACATTTAGAAGAGGTATTAAATAGAAGAATCATTAGGTCGTTATGCTGAATTTAATTTAATTCATGATAGAGGAACTAAATTTGGTTTGATGACACCAGATGCTAGAATAGAGAGTATATTAATGTCATTGCCTTTGACTGCAAGATGGGAATACAATTATCATCCAAAAGAAGGAACAGAAGAAGCTAGAATTGTTGGTGTCCTGCTTAAACCAGTTGATTGGGTGTGAGATATATAAGAGTAAATTAAATTATGAAATAAATTGCTTTTCGTTTGAATCACATTTGTCAAGCACATTTTGGATTACGTACAAGAGCTGGCTCCATTATTAAAACAATCGTTCCAGAGAAAAAGACTAGAGAGTAAATCAGATTAGAGATTGAAGATCCTTTTTAAGCAGAAAGATTAAGATAAATCTAATTAGAAGAAGATGCTAAGAATTTTTAACAATATATTTACAATCTAAAACAAAATGATACCAATCCCAAAAATTTCATTAAAGTTAAAGTTAACAATCTAGATGTATCAAAAATAGAAACTAATACTGAGACAGAAAATACGGCTCCTTTTATTGTCAAAAAAATCCCTAAATAAGAGAAAATTTTAATTAGTGGAATAAGAAGGTATTGTTTATGACAATTCATTAAAAATAGAAAAGTACCTGCTTCTCTTAGAAGATTAATTCCTATTTGCAGACCATTGATAAATATGCATCTATATTAGGCTTAAGAAGCAATTGGTGATTCAGGAAGAAAAGCAGCTTAATTTTTAGCCAAAACATTAGTTATGGTTAGATCACATGCTGTTTAAAGAGGATATGATCCTGAAAGACTTTATGTCCATTCAATTTAGGTTGGGAGATATAAGAAATTTAAAAAAGCTAGATTTCATGCTAAGGCTAGAATCAATCCAGCTTTTAGAGAAACCAGTTAAATAAAAGTTATCTTAGAAGAAAGACCTACCAAAGAGGTTTAATTTATATTTGATTATTATTATAGATGTTTAAAGATTTTGTTTAAGGTAAAACTCCTAGTGTTATATCATATTTAATGAAAGACTAGTTGGTTAGAGAAAAAGCTGACTATGCTAAAATCAGAAGATTCTAATTGTTCCTTACTGCTAAAGGTAGATAATAATAAAAACTAATGTTAAAGAGAAGAGCATAAAAAGAAATGAAAGAGAAAGTATAGATTTTAATTAATTTTAGGGATTGTCATTTAAATATCTTCATCGTTAAATTATAGATAAAGAAGCTGAACAATTTGCTGAAAATTATGATACAGGAAAGAGTGGATTACATAGATTCAATTTAGAAGCTAGATAAACTCTGTTTAAAAAGAATGAAGAAATCAATAATTGAGTTTTAGGAATATTTAATATAAAAATTATATAATAATAATAACTATTGATAGCAGAGTAATTAGATAATGTAGCTTAGTTCTGTTAATTGATAAAATTTAATCTTTAAATAAAAATTAATTGATATAAATTTGATATATTTATTTAATTTATTATGTAAACGATTGAGAACTATTAATATGACAAAAAGGGATTTCTTGGAGCAGGTAGTTTTGGAAGTGTATATAAGGCTAAAAATATAAAAACAGGAGAAATTGTAGCTTTGAAAAGTATTGAATTATTATACATTTGCAGTTTTAGATATGAAATTATTCTAAGATTAATTTATGATTGATTCATTAAAAAATGAAATAAAAGTAATGCAAACACTTAGTTCCCCTAATGTAGTGCGTATGTTGGATGTATTTGGAAATAAATAATAAACATATATGGCTATAGAGTTATGTGATTCTGATCTAAGATCTGTAATACATAAAAAAGGTCATATGTAAGAGTAATAAGCAATTGAAGTTCTTGCATAATTAATGAATGGCTTTAAAGATTTAGTATCTCATAATTATATCCACCGAGATATTAAACCTGAAAATTGTCTAGTGAAAAGTAATGTATATAAAGTGGCTGATTTTGGATTTGCTACAAAAGTAGATATTACAGGTAGATAATTACTTAGAGAATGTGTTGGTACTCCTATCTATATGTCTCCTTAAATTTTAAATAAGTAGTAATATTCAGCTAAAAGTGACATCTGGTCAATAGGAATGATGTATTATGAAATTCTTTTTGGTAAAACGGCCTGGTCTTGTAGGGATATGAATAGTCTTCTTAGAAGTATTAAAACTTAACCATTACGATTTCCTTATGAAAGACCCATAAGTGAAAATTCTAAAGATTTTATTAAAAAATGTTTAATGATCGATGAGATTAGTCGTATTGGGTGGAATGAAATCTTTACTCATCCGCTTTTTACTATTAAATAATCTGGACAATTATAATAAAAGTAATAATATTAGTTGCCATAATAATGTATTAAAATCTTAAGAAAAATGTAAGAAGTTGTTACTGAAAATAATATAGATCCACATTTTATTTTTCAAAGATTCGATAAAGACAAAAATAATATTTTAGATGCTTAAGAATTTAAAGATCTTATTTTAGCTGTTGATCCAAAAACTACTTAATTTGAAATTCAATCCTTATTTTCTAGAATTTGTGGTCAAGATCAAAAAGTTAATTATGTTGAATTTTAAAAATTATTTACAGAATTTGATTTCTCTGATCTAAATGATAAGGCAGGAATCATTATTAAAGATATCTAAGCTGTAATCAAAGCTAATAACATTAATATTACTTAAATATTTAATAAATATGATAAAAATCATTAAGGAGATTTAGATTATTAAGAATTTTACAATTTAATTAAAGTTATAGTGCCTGGAATTAAAGATTATGAAATTAAATTAATGTTTTCGAAATTCGATCGAGATAACAATGGTGCCATCAGTTTTCCTGAATTTTAATATGTTCTTAGTAAAGGAACTGGTCAAACTTAAAAAGAAGGTCTTACTTAAAGAGCATCTGGAGTACTAAAACAATTGCAAAATACAGTGAGAATTAATAAATTAGATATTGCTAAAATATTCCAACGTTTTGATAAATCTGGAGATGGTTCAATTGATTAAGAAGAATTTTTCTTATTATTAAGAGTATTAATTATATATTTAATAGGCTATTGATGGAAAAATTAGTAAAAATGAAGCTGCCACTGTTTTCCATATTTTTGATAAAAATCATGATGATTACATCTCTTTCGAAGAATTCAAATCATAGTTGTGAAAATATATATTATTAAAATCATTCAATAAATAAACTAATCTATTTATTAATTACATTAAGGGCACTTATCAATCTTTGTTTTACTACAATAATAACAAAATGTATGTTTGCAAGGTTCCACTCTTGTTATCATAGTTTTTATTGCAGAATTACAAACAAAGCATGCTCCATTCTCATTTTCACCCTATAATGTTCCCAAAAAAGAAGTCATAAAGAATAATTATTTACAATAACTCATTAAATAACTACTGGAAAATAATAAAGATTAGAATAATTTGTTAATTACTCCCCAAATTAAAGTTCTATTTAATAATTCGAAATCTAGTTCTCTTGTTTGATTTTCTTTAATTTATTTTATTTAAAACCCAATCAAAAATAATTCTAAAGTATTAACCATTTATCCCTTAGCTATAAATTTCAATGAATATCCAAATCGCAAAAGTTAAAATAGGAATTCTAATTTTTTTATTTTTTTGTATATATTAGGTTGCTTAACTTCTAAATATAACATTATTCTGTTATATATATATCTTCCTAATACTATTATTAGTAAATAAAGGAGTTTTTCCCTTTTTCCTAATGCCTCTCCTAATTATGTGCAAAACTAGATATTTTATAATTCCTGTCCTGGCAAAGGTTTATCTTTTGCAATCCTCTATCGAAAATATAAAAAGTCAAATATTAAATCTACTTCTGGTATATTAGTTTTGAATAAATCTTTTATTTACTCAACAAAAATAGCTTTAATTTCTGAATCAATTAAAAGACCTTCTATTTAGCATATACGCGAATTTAACATATAATAATATAATTATAATTAATTTTTCGACATACATTTAATATTGATTCATTGAGATTATTTTTATTAATTAAAATAAACTAAAACAATTCACAAATCTTCATTTTTAAAAGCTTTAAATCAAACTTCATCTAAATATGCCATGAAAAAATTGTTCCTCTAAGTGTTTTACTAAATATATTCTTTTTTAAAAATTTATTGATAATAACACATTTTCAAACATATATTCATGATTGTTCCTATAAAATAATATAGCATGCTTGCACTATCTACTGCATATCCATATTTTTATGTTTGTTTCCTCTTGCAATAAGAAAATTATGAGAATAAACTTTTTTGTATATTTTTAGTTCTTTCACAATTTTTTACTCTTTTTATTTATAATTTATTTCAAAAATAACCAAAGATAATTAGATATTCCTTAGTTTTCTTAATTTATTTTTTGAATAAAAAGACAATATACAATAAACTTTTTTTTAATATCAATAATTTAGAGTCTATTTTTATATTCAAATTGAACAATAATTTGAAAAAGAGACTAAATTATTTCTAAATTATAATAAAGATCAATTTAGATTTTTTGAACAATGTTAACAATTTATAAAATAATTTTAATTAATTATTTAAAAAAAATGATCTCATTTGATGATATATTGGAATAAAAAATAAAAACAGGTCGTTACTAATTCAAAACTTTAGTAATTATTGGATTGGTTGAATTTTGTGATGGTATAGAATATGCTTATATGTCTATTTTGGTGGCAATCATAAAAAAAGAATGGGAATTGAATTAATAACAGATAGCATATTTAGGGTCATCATTTTTATTAGGAATGGTGATTGGTAATTGCATTTGTGCCTTTTTAACTGATATAATAGGTCGAAAGACAACATTTACAATATTTACAGGACTATCGGTTTTTTTGATTTATTTTACAAGTATTTGTACTTCATACAATTAAATGATCACATTGCGATTATTGTTTGGAATTGTATTTGGAACTAGCTATCCTTTAGGTTATGTATTTATAACAGAAATTACAGAACCTAAATATAGGGGTAGATTTGGGTATTCAATGGGAGTTTTATTTGTAATTGGTAAGATTTATTTAGCATTTTTGTGTATTTTATATCTAGAGGATTTTACAACAGGAAATTGGAGAGGTTTGATTAGAGTGAATGCTATTCCTGTAGCAATCAGTTTTATATTTTCATTATTTTTTTTGAAGGAAACTGCAAGATTCTATTTAAATTAAAGAAAGTACGAAGTTGCATTTGATCAAATTGATACAACAATTGAAGAGAACTTAAAAGTTTAGGGAATCTTGACAGAAGAAGAGGTATATGAGTATAAATTAAAACATAGAAATAAGGATTGATTAATTGGTAAGAAAAGTAAATATAAATAAATTAGGAGTAAGAATTAAATAAATTTGGAATTCTATCTTAAGATTATAGATATATTACTTTAAGGATATGGATTTTATATATTTTAGCAAATTTGCAAAATATGAGTATCTATTTATTAATGCCATTTTTATTTGCTAGCAATAACTCAAATTTAAATTCAATGTTGTATATGTTTATTTTGGAATTAATATTTGCATTATTATTGTATGTAGTAATAGATGATCCTAATATAGGAGGTAGAAAGATGGTAATAGGTTATTCATCATTAATTTTGGTATTAGCTAATGCTAGTTTGTATTTTTTTAGATAGCAAATTCTTTTTATCGGGTTGCTTCTAATAAAATTAGCATGCAGAGCTCTATTTTCAACGTTAGGTCTTGTTTGTTGTGAAAGTTATCCTTTGTAATTAAGATCTTAAGGAACTGCTATAGCTTTTGGAATAGGAAAGACTTCATCAATACCATCACCATTTATTTTATTTCCTTTATTTTATATAGATCCTTATTTACCTTTTGCTGTAATGAGTGTTTTGTAAATTGTTATGATTATAATAAATCATATGATTTAAGATGATAAAACAATGAAACCATTGGAATCACATAAATAAGATTGATATATCAATATGAAAAATAGTAGATTTATTGTTGTTTTGAATATATTTTTATTATATTTAAAGCTGTAAATTAAATTAATATTCATAATTATGAGTAAATTAATATAATTGGCATTCAAACCACATTATTTTGTTACTAGGGTTTAATCAATCAATAGCAAAGCTAAATCATTCACAGCAATAGATTTTTATAATAACTTATTATTGAAAACTCAAACAAATAAAAATGGAAGATATAAATTTTAGACAAATGATGTTGGATAGTTTGTAAATATGATTGAAAAAGATAATATTAAGGAAGCAATAGAAGTATTCTATTACATATAAATTGATTAGGGATTTAATAATATATTAGGCCATAATAATTAAGTGCATTGTGGTATTAAAGATAAATTTATGCTAAAATGTATTGAATTTGATTAGACTAAATATGTTTTGGATGCTTTAAAATTTCATTCAGCAATTAAATATTTTCCACATCCTTCTGTAATAATTACTTTAGCTAAAAAACTTGATGATGAAGCATTAATTGAATTGTTTAAGATTTTGAAAACAAGTCCCTTTTTAAAAATTGATAGTGCTGATCTTTCAAATTTGATAAAAGATGATCCAAAAATATCATATGAAGTTTATAGAGTAGCTTTATAGAAGAAAATAAAATTATAACCAAAAGATTTATATAGGATTGCAAGATAATTTTTATCAGGCAATAAAGTTAGAAAAGTGTATAGTCATTATCCTTATTATGATTAGTGGTTTTATGACTTAATTTGCATAAGAAAATGGAAATGGAAATGAAAATGATATTTATAGTTCCTTAAGTATATTATTTACTCATGTTTATTTGACAAACAAATAATAAGCTATAGTGGAGTTAGCTAAAATAATTGAATAAAAAGATGGGTAAGATTACTTATAAATTTTAGTTTAACTATTTTAAAACAAGAAGAATAATATATAAAACCTCTTTTAGAAATATTACAAAAATAAGTTGAAAACGATGAAAAATGGAAATCTAGATTAGATGAATTAATATAGAAATTGAGTTGATTTTATAGATCAATGAATATATATATATATAATATTGATCATCCTTATTTTTAGATGGGTAAGAATAACTTAAATTCAGGAGGCAATTCTTCTTCACTGTAAAGACGATCACTAAAATAGATTCTTCTAATTCTACAATTTGCATGTATTTGAACACTAAAAGTTGGAATTGATATATATACCGAAGTGTTTCTATATAGTTTGTACCATATGCTCTTCTAGTGAAATCAGACAAGTTAAATTAGATTTAATTCCATCCTTCATCTAATCTCATAGGCATTGTACAAATGAAAGGCTTTACTCTTGTGGTTGACTAATTTCTTATTAATTGATACTTGATAATTTGATGCTCTAAATCTTCTTCTAACATTCTTATCATCTAAAACTTGTACTTCAAATGTGAAATATTTTTTGAGCTAATCATAATACCATTTTTAATACATTTTTAATGATCATGACTAAGAATGGCAATTTTATTCCTAATGTTTCTTTAGGATCAGCAGGAGCAGTTATGAAATTTGTACTTACATTTGTACCCATTATTTCTAATACTGATGATTAAATGTCTTGATCTGTTATACGTTTAATATGTCCATTCTTAACTTAAATAATCCAATTATTATTTACTTTGCTTGTCCCAAATTTACAATGGCTTTGATCCTATTGAATATAGTATAGAAAGAAATCCACTTTAGAATGAGTTCTTGAACATCAGTTATTTTTTATTTTATTAAACAAAAATATATCTCACTTAATACACCTTTTCAATCAATATTCATTTAATATTCTCAATTAATTTAAATAAACAATACTTCTTACATTTCTACTCTCTACTTATCAATCTTTAAGAATTATTATTACTTTTTCTAAATTTATTTGTATTTCTAAATTAATTTATTTAACATAAAATCATTAATCAATTTTTTAATACTTATCTTATATACCTTCTAATTATTGTCGAACTATATAAAATTAATTAATAACAATTTACTTCATCAATGTTGTCATTGGCATTACTAATAACAATGTTCTGCTTTGTTATATCTATTTTATTAATGTCTAATTTGCAGGAATCCATAAGATAAAAGTTACAAATAATAAATAAAATGTAAAACAAATGAACAACCAAATTCTAGTCATTTGTAATTCATTAAATGAATCTCTTATACTTTACTCTAATTTATCAATTAAATATCTTTAAGTGTATCTTATAACTACTTTCTCCATAGTTCTTACTTCTACACTCAAAGTTGAATTTAATGTTAATATCGCTAAATTTCTAATCTCTTCATTAATATTTTCTGAATTATTAATATTATTCATATAATAATTTTAAAATCCTTCATACTAATATACTAAAATCTATAGACTTTCAAAATATTTTGTTAAACCTATTGATAATCCTTCAGAGATAACTCCATTAAAAAAAGAATTACAATAATCCTCACTTACATATTCTTACAATTATCCTAATTTTGGACAAGGATTCTTTACAAATAATTCTTAAAAAGAATTTATGTAATCAGGTTAGAATAAATCTAAATTTTATGTAAATTTAGTTTGTAAATCAGCATTTATCTCATAAAGTGTATTAAAATAATTGTTTATAAATTTCAAAGGATTAGGATTACAAAAAATACTCTAATTTTGGTTCACAAAATATTCTCTTATAGCATTATCTCCTAATCTATATTATGATTCTAATAAAGATGTTGCATTTAATATTGGACTTAAGTTATAAGTTCTCTCTACAACGTATTAAGCTGAAATATATTAATAAATAAAATAAGCTTAGATAATTGCAAATATAAAAAAGACGCTTTCCATAAATTTTATCAATTTTTTATTCCTATTTTTTAAAAACTTTTTTTTTTTATTGTTTGTCATTTTGTTTTCATCCTAATTTAATGTCTAAATCTATTGTTTATCATCTTAAATTTCATCCTAATTTATATAAAATATTTATCTTACATAATCATCATCTCCAACGTTTAATAATTATAAAAAGGACTCGCATTTTTAAATTATATTTTTTATTTGTATTTAATTTACTTCAAAAAATAATTAATAGATTTAATTCTAATACTTATTATATTAAATCAAATATAATGCAATCAATATATATGTCACTAATTGTAATAAGGTTTGCAAAATAAAAAAAATCAATTTATTGTTAAGTGAATTTTGGGAAACAGATTTTATTGAATAATATCTATAATTTAATGGTATGTAATAATATTTTGAAACTGAATTCATCGTATTGTAGTTATAAAAAAAAAAGTCAGTATCAGAATCATTAAATTTAGATATATCTCCAGAATTTAAAAATAGAGCTTTACCAATCAATAAATCAATAGCCTCTTTATAAGAGAAATTTTATTTACTACCATCTATTGATTAAAGTTCAATGTTTTATGAAAAATATGCATCTTAAAATTCCAAATATTCTTGATTTATTAATGTTTCCCCTGATATTAATTATGTATGAATTTAAATTAAATCTTATATTTCTTAATTTAATTAATTTAAATTGCTTTTATATAATTGCTCAAAGTTAGCCTAAGAATCTATTAATTTACCTAAATTTATTAATCTTATATCTTATAAAATAGTTTGAATCATCAAACAACTTGATAATCTTTTATTGTTCAAACTCAAATTAAAAATCATGTTTGATACATTTGCATCATCATCCAAATTAAATATAAATACTATCATTCCAGATATATAAAGAGTAATTAATGAAATATTAATTAAATAATTTAATATTTAAAATCCTTTAGACACATATGAATTAATTAGTAATTAATAAATTTAAAATTTTGATTAAAATAATTCGAAATAATTCCTAAATTCTTATATTTCCTTATCCTTTTGATTGATTAATGATTAAGCATTTTAAGATTCCTCATCTTCATCCTCTAAATATTATTAATCTATATTAAATTCTTCTAAATCTAAAATTTACCCTTCCCACAAACGTTTTACTTTAATTCCTTCATCATAATGAATACTACGTTTTTAAGATTATGACATCCTTTTAACTAATCGAAAATAATCCATAATTTTTGATAATTTATGTTCATTATTTTAAGAGATTTAAATATCTATTGATTCATCAATATCAGTTAAATTCATATAGTCCAAATGAAATACTGAAGGTGGAATGAATTAAAATATGGGAAATTTAGTTTTTTTTGGATATTATGGATTTATTTTTACAATTGATTCAGTAGAATCATGGCATTTAATTTATTCCAACTTCATTACTATACCATAATGTTATTCGTCTTTAAGACAAGGGAATTGAATATTATTTAGATAACATTAAAAATCTATTTATTCATAGATGCTAATCGTATCTAAAGTCTTTGTGCTATATTTTAAGCCATGAGGAGAAAGATGCAATTTTGCTCCACTTTTTTAATAAAATTCTTATTTACGAAAGTGAAAATCAGGAAATAATTCTTTGATATTGATTCTTCTCATTTTAATTTTAATAACATCTAATTTCAAATGTGTTATACAAGAACTTGTTATATTTTCTATATATCCTTCAATATCTAAAAGAATTAAACATTATTATTTTGGAGTAAAGATTTATTAAAATTAAGCAATAAAGTAATTTTAATTGTTGTTTGTTTAAATTAATTTAAGATTTTATTATAAAGGTATTATATAATTGCTTTTTGCTTAAAGATATACTGTTTGTGTTATAAATTCGTTTTAATATTAATTTTCAATAAATAACTCTAAACAACTATTTAGTGGAGTAGTATATCTAATTAAAAAATCAATATTTACATTTAAGGTGTTACTTAATTGATTGATCTTCCTATAAGATCAGTTTTAGAATAACCAAGTAAACTGCAAAGAGCTTTATTAACAATATATATATGAAAATTTGAAAATTATGCTGTAACAACTAATGTTGGTATTTGCTTACTAGATATTTCCTCTATTTCAATTATTTCCTTTTATTTAATTTTTTACAAAATTCTAAGTTGATTTTATAATGAATCTGCAACTTCTTAATCATCTAAAACTAATAAATAAAATTTAGCCATTAGATTGTATAATTTTAAAGAATCACAATCTTTCAATTTCTCCCAAGATTAATCTATTTCTAACTTTTACTTTAAAATTTTGAATCCTAAATTCATCAATTTATTCATGTCTGGATGATCTTCTGTAATTGATATCCAAAAATCAATAATTTTTAATGTAGCTACTTCTATAGCTTCTATTAGATATTTAGTCTAGTTTACTGTAATTTTTATATCTAATTATTATGTTTTTGATTGAAATTCTTCTTCTATAATTAATTTGTATCTATAAATATGAAATTCATAATCAAATGTAGGTTTGAATTCCATAGCTTGAATAAGTTCAGACATAATTAAAGAATAAGATTTTTTATGATCATAAAGAAAATAAATATAGTTAAGTCTCAATTATATATCATCAGGAAATATTTTAACAGATTCTTAATAAATTTATGCAATTAATTCATAAATTATGAGATTTCTATTAGTATATTTTGGATTCTCTTTAAATTTATTAGCCATTTCTTCTTTAATTTTTACAACACAATCATTTCTATGACAAATTTCTTTATGAACTTCAATATAACTATCAATTAATAATTAATATCGCTAAGATTTGTTTGAATTGTTTAATAAAAGTAATAGATATTCACATAATTTAATAACTTATGAACCATTTTAAAATTTTCTAAGATTTGCCTTCATTAAATCAACTTCTTATGTCTTTTTAAATATAAGAATACCTATAATTAAAGGTATTCCTAAAAGCCATGCTTAAATAGTATTTAAAAAGATTTTTCCATCCAGAATATACGAATAGAACATCATAATAATTGTCCAGAAATTTACTCCAGCTAAAATTGACCACATTTTTTAAATAAATGTATCATAATAAGGTTATATGATATGTGTATTAATAAATATTATACAACTTCCAATTAAAAAGACTACAATAATTAAAATTGTATAATCAGGAGTTGCCAATAATTAATATGTCATAATCTATGTAAAAATATAGATTAATAATTGATAATATGATCTTCCATTCCTCATTGCATTTGCATCTAAATGTGTTTTTCTTGATTCATATGTAACAAAAGCCATTAGTACACTAAATGATAATGTAATAAATAATCCAATAATTGCAATCACAGCATGAATATAATAATCTTATGTCCAACACTCTTAAGATTATTCAAACATCATAATCAATTTACCTTATTTATTATATTAACATGCTAATAAACCGAATTGCATTCTTATTATTGGCCAGAAACCGAAAGTTAGAATGATTCTCAATAAAAACCTTAATAATATTAAAGGTCCTCTCTACAATTTCTTATTTTAAATTACGAAAGCCAATAGTATTATTAACAATATTGAAAATAAAACTAAGCTTAAACAAAAATAAAAGATTGAGAGATAAGTTTGGATTCCCAAATTTTTTACAGAAATTGTAATTGTAAAATACCTATCTTGAATGTACATTTACTTCAATATTAGATTTATTAAATCACTATATGCCTTATTTCTCCATACATACTAAACTTTTAAACCAAAATTTAAATAAGTATATTGCAGATATTAAGTTAAGCAAACTATCATAGTCATCCACTAATAATTCGACTATTATTTAAGTATGAGATAAATAACTCTAAATAGAAGAAGGATTACTTGAAAAATTTATATTTTAAAGAATTGACTATTTGATTGATTTATTGTCTCTTTTACATTTTAATTATTGTTTAATTATTATCACAATCAATTCATTTCAAATTCTTAATTTTAATTTTAAGCTCTTCAATCTACTACAAGTTTGTATTCTGTAGTCTAGTCAGCATTTATGTTTATTTATTCTTAATATCTATTAAGTTACTAATCTCATCTGTATAACTTTTTCCTTTCTCTTCAGGAGTCTTTGTTTATAATTCAATTAATTTATTATTCAAAGTCATTGAACTTATATAATCAATTACCCTTTTATTAAGGTTTTTTTATGCATCTAAACTTTTTTATAAAAGTGCTTTATTATTTTCTAATTATTTTATTTAATCCAATAAAAGTTATTTTTCATCTTCAAAACTTTGTTTTAATTCTTAAACTTCCTTTCCAGATAAAATACCTAAATTTCCCCCAGCTAATGATAATGACATAGTTCTATTATTATCTAAAGAACTCTCTTTTAGTTTGGCTTTATACTTTTCAATTAATTTTTATTTTTCTTCTATTACTTTTTAATTTTATGAAAACATTTATTAGAAATCCTAGTTTGTACGTTCTTTTTTTTAATACTATTAATTTTCAAGTGTTAATTCATCTATTTTAGATATTAATATTGCAATTTCATCACTTTTTTATTATAAAAATTTATCTTTCAATTTTTCATCAGGTAATTGAATTTGAGATAACTAAAATTTATAACTCTCTAGTTCATTTTCTTTTAATGCAAATTATAATTTAAGATTAGCAATTTCTGCTTTTAATTCATTAATTTAGGTTGAATCTTATTATTCCAAAGTTGAAAAAGCTAAACTTAACATTGATTGTGTTCGATCTTTATTATCTGAGTCTTATTTTGGTTAAGGTTATTACATAGTTTTTAATTTCTTTTCTACTTCATTACCTCTAACATTTCTTAAGATATAAATTTCTAATTCATCATGTGTAGAATTAGAAAGATTTGGGCTTGCAATCATAAAAATAGAAGTTAATCCACGAATAAAGTAATCATATTTTTATATTAGTTATGAAATCAAAAAGAATGTTGTATCAAAATTAAACATATTTATTGAAAATGTGAGTAAGTATCTCCTTAATCTTGCTTCTAAAAATTGTCTCATTAACAACACATCTTTCTCAGGTAAATTGAATCCTTTTACGCAATATGTTACTATGCTTATTAAACATTCCTCAGGTGGTTTTTATCTATATATAATATTCAGTAATTAAAAAGCAGATGATTCAGATGAAAAGCACAATATGAAATTTGCTAAACATACTAATTCCGCTGTAAAACTTATATCTGGATTCTTTGAACAAAAAGTCATACAAACATTTTGTAATTTTACATTATCTTTTCCAACTAGTGAATAGAACTCTTTTAAAGAATAATTAATATTATCTAATCCAATAATTTCTACTTGATCCATTTTAAGTTTTGTCGAATCTCTCACAGTTTTATATTCCTAATTATTAAAAGCATTTCCAAGCCATTTTTTTGAAATTGTGTCTACACCATAAGCAATATGATTTTAATCAACAAAAGACTTTATTGAATCTGATTCCTTTAACTAAATATCAAAATTTACCTCTTTACATATTTTACAAAGTCTTCTACCCTTATTGAACTCTAAAGTAATTTTATGAGGAGAGCAACTACTACAAACAATCCTCAGACATCTTATTTTTAGTGAAAATATATTTATACCTCTTACACATATGTTCTCTAGTTGTCACTTTAGAGAAGGCTTTTGAGCATATTTAGCATTTAGGTGTTTTACCTCGAACCTCTGGTATATTGATGTATGTAATAAATTATTTCATTTTTTTATTAACAATTCATATATTTTTTATTTTACATATGGTTTTTCTAAAAAATCTTCAAATATTCTTCTTTTAGAATACTCAGAAAAATCATTACAACATGTCAAATCTATATTTGTTGATGCATCACTCTATTCTGTAACAGTCAAAAGTGCTTCATCAAAACATCTTTCTAATTCTTATTCTTGTAATTCCTCAACTTAATTAATTTACTACTTTAATTTGTTATATAATTCTTGTTCCTATTAAATGTGATAAGAATTTCTTTTAATTTATGGTAGAGGCATTAATCTAACTGATTATAATTATTGCATCGATTTTGGTTATCTTCTGATTTAATTTTGAATTTGTTACTCTTCCTCACCTAAACTATTTAATTCCTCTTGTAATATTATATTATGTTTATCTGCATATATTAATTATTCATCTAAAAATTTAATCTCACTTTATAGTTCATTGAAACTTTATCGAATATCACGATCAATTTTACTCAAATCTTTAATGTTTTCACTCAATTAAATACTCCTCTCTAAATATAATTCCCTCTCCTTAGCTAGCTCTTCTCTATGTTTTTGTATTCTTTTCTCTATTTCAGTTTAACTTTCCTCATCTCGAATTTTCACTAATTATCTTTAAACATTTAACATTTCTTATTTATATAACTTCAATAATTCTTCTTCCCTTTTATTAAACAATTACTATAATTGTTGATTTGCTTATTCTATCAATTCATATATCTATTAATTAGTTTCCTTTAAATCATTTTTAAGTTCTGATTTTTTAGACTCAATCATTTAATATTATTATGTTTATTTTATTATTGCTTTATTCTATATAAGCATCTTAGTAAGAAGCATAAATATTTACTTAGAAATTGAATTCTACAACTTATTATGCAATTAAGAATTAACAAAAAACACTATATGAAGACCCAAACTGCTTTTAAATCCTATTATGGAAAAGAAGTGAATCTGATCATAAAGTTTATTCCTACACAGATAATGATTATGATTAATTAAATTTAGAAGAGAAAAAAAGGAATGGAACCGCAGGATGTAGAGCATTATAAAAATCTTTTCCTATTTAATAAATTTTGAGGATGGGATTGCCTGCTGATGAAAAAATATTTTATACTGATTTAATTGTCTTATAAAACAGAGCTTTGATTATTAGGAATGATTTTACATTGTAAGAGATAAATTTATCTCCAGATTAATTCATTAAAACATTATAATAAAAAAAACTTTTAATTAAATAAACCTCTACTAGTCATCCAATATTTTTATAAAACCCTATTAATAAAAGAGTGTACATAATTTCAGAAAATGGAGGTGTTAGTATTCCAGATTGGATGTATATATAGAGTATAATTATTTAGTCCTTTAGATTCAACAGTATTTTTTGTAAATGAAGAACCTTTTAAAAAAAGATCAATCATTTATGATACTTTTTTAAAGAATGAAAAAATATATGTGGCTTGTGGAAATGAAGGGATTGATATTTATGTCTATAAAGATGGGATCCTAAAACATGAGAATGTTTAACTAAGAATTGATAATAAACATTTAGATGCAGTTGATATTAGTGGAGATGATGAAAGTAATATGATTTTTTTGAATTTTAGATTTATATATATTGGATCATAATTATGGGCTATATATTTGTGATTATCAATTTCAGAAAAAATTTATAGTGCCGATATTAAAGGGTAGTGATTTTGGTCATTATAACAATACTTTTTTTATTATAGCTGAATCTATTACTAGATAAGATTATGCAGTTGAAGTCTTCTTAAATTTAACAGATAATTCTTTTTTCATAAATCATTATTACTTTGATGATATGTAATTTTATGATGTAAAAGTATATGAAGAATATGCTATTTTGATAGGATATGAAGTTCATAAAATTATACAGCATACAATTTATTCTAATTTTATAAAATACACCAGTAACAATTATTTTGAATTTCCTTAACTATTATAACTAAAACAATGGAACAATTCAATTGTTGGTTTATCTAAAAAGTAAATTAGATTATTGAATTTAACAATGATACCAGCTCATATAGAATGTGAATCTTAAGAAAAATTTTAAGAATATTATTTAGTAGCAAGTTTTTTTTAGAATCCATAAACACCATTTGAAGTAACTAAAGTGGATCAAGTATTCAAAATAGTAATAGATGATGTGGCATTACTTTCAAAAGCAAACATTATCCTTTTAGGGATTGCATTTATAATAATATTTATTATTGTATGGTTTTTAGTTATAGGATTGATATGTTATAAAAAATGCAAAGACAGAACTGAGAAATTAGAAGAAAGCAAGAAGTTTTTGACTAAACAATATTAAACAGATAGAGAAGAAGGGCCTGGTTAAGAATTGTCAGCATTATGATATTATACTCATTATACATATCTATTCCTCAATAAGTTATTCTTTTTCTTATTATGTTCTGATTAATGAGTTTATGATTAATTCGCAAAAGGATCTTCACTTATTTCTTATGTTTATTGTGTCAATTATTCCTCTTATACTATTGGTTTAGGTGGATCAATCTTTCTTCTAGGTGGAGGAGGTGCTACAACTACAACTTCTTTTTTTTATTCCTCTTCTGGAGGAGCTATTTATGGAACACCATTTATCACATAAGCTTTTAATTATTTATCATAATAAAAGTTCTATGGTTATGGTTAATAACTTTATTATTATTATTATTATGGTTATTTCTATATTTATTTTACAGCATTTACTGCTTAGCCAAAATAACCTAAAAGACCACCACCATTAGAATTGTTGTTATTATTTGATTTATTTTTTTCTTTCAATTCTATAACTTATAAAATTCTATCTCTCAAATCTCTTGCCTTTGAATGATACCCTAAATCAATTGAGAATTTGACACATTCTAATGCTTTATCATAATTCTCAGATTCTACAAAAAGTAAACTTAATTTATAATATAATTCTGCATTCTATTAATTATGAAAACACATATGCGAATCTCCTATTAATAATTAAATTTCTGAATGACATAAACTATAATTAAATTTTGTAAAAAAACTCAACAAAAATACATCTAATTAAGTATTCTAAATATCCATCTTTAGTAATAACCACAATAATCTGGCTTGAATTTATTCACTTGAATATAAATGTTATAATTGAATAAGCAATTCTGAATAATATTCTTAATCAATTGGAACCATTTTAAGTAAAACTGCTAATCTAATTAACCAAGCCTCTTGATCATCATGATATGATCTCTTTTTTATATATTCAATTAAACTCTATTATTATTTTGTATTAATTAATTCTCCTTATAAAATACAAACTAAAAGTTTAGTTTCCCAATCGTTTTAATTATATATTCTTACATATGCCTAATTTCATAAATAATACATTTACTTCAACAAAATCTGATCCACTTTAATTATTTAGTAATTTAGATTCAATTATTTATAAAGCACTATTCTTTTCTAATGGTTTTTCAAGATGATCTATTATTAATTATTATAAAGCATTATTAGTATTATATGAAGCCCAAAAATATCGCAATTATCTTAAATTATCAGGATTTCTATTCTTAAAGTATGGGCCTGGATATTAAGATGCAATAGAACCGAATCGTAGTTTAGTGAGTTAATTTGATTCTAATTTATTATTATTCATAATTACATATATCATAGCTTACTAGCCCATGATAAAATGTTTAGGCAGTTATAACTGATGATTGATTTTCAATTTTCTAATTAATATTCATCATCTATTATTATATTGAGGGTTATTATTCTTTAAATACATTCTCAAAAACTTAACCTTCAGTTTCTTTGTTTTTTTAAACAGGAATCTATTGTCTTGTTTTTTAGATTTAAGTTTGTTTTACTTTCTCATTTTAATTTTCATTTAATTAATTATTTGGAAGATCAATTTATTTTTATTATTCTTAATTGTTTTATACTTCAACAATTGGTTTGAGATTGCCTTGATTTTATTTTTAAAAGATTTAACTTTATTCTTACTAGGGTTTCTATTATTTTTATTATTGAAATTCTTATTCTTTAGGTTATTGTAATTCCTATTTTTCTATAGTTTAAATTTAAGGTTTTTAAATATTCTCATCAACTTTTACTAATTAATTAGAATTAGCTTATTAGTTTTGAGAAGATGTATTAGATTATTACTAATTCTAATTAGCTTCGCTTTTATAAATCAGTTTTTTACATCTAATGCTGCTATTCTTATTATTTTGGTTATCTTCTTCTTTACATCAATTATTATGACTATTAAATTAATTGTTATGCTCTACTCATCTATTAATTAGTTTAAGTCTGTTAAGTAGTAGGTTAGCTCTGTTAAGGAGCAGTTTTTTCTTATGATTGAAATATTTATTATTAAACTTAAGGGACACTTAAAGGTTCTTGTTTATGCATACTATCAATTTCCTTGTTGAAAGAAGAAGATTATTACTTGAAGCAATGCTTCTCTAAAATCAATTTCTTAAATTGGTGCTAACTCCTAAACTTTGGGAATGGTTGGTACATTTATTTACGCATTATACTGAACTGGCTCCTGGAGAGGTTGGTTTGGTACTTAAATTGCGTAATTAACTAACCATAATGGATCTCCCAATATACTTTATGCTTCATCGAATGGACTTCCAACTTATATTTATCTTCTTTTCATATTTAAGATTAAATATTTACAATTTAAAAAGCAACTAATTATATAAGTTTTATAAATATAAAAAAATTGCAACAAATAATTTATTTCATTTTAAAAGCTTTGACATTTAAATGGCATCTCTTCCAGTTCCCTTTTATAATCCAACTTAAACATAATAACCATAACTATTCGGATAACTCTCCACATATTAACCAATACATTCAACTGTGCCTATCTAATGTCAACCTATTAATACTCGTTTGACTTCTAATGTCTTTTCACCTGTTTAACCTGTTGTTTAATAGATGATTGCTCCTCAACCAAAATTGGCTTAATCATATGTAACATAACCAGCTATTGCTTAAACTATTTAATAATCAGTTCATGTATTAATTTTAAATGATAAATAGCCAACAATTAAAGGAGAATCAAGAATTGAGTACATTCCTTATTAAAAAACAATAACTGAATATGAAGAATAAGAAGTGGTTTAATATGTTCCAAGAGAAAGAAAAGTGAGTGATTATTATGCTATTTAATATTAAACTGAATATATCCCTCAAGTATTTTAAGAAAAATCTATAGGTAATTTAAAATATGAATCATTTTAGAATATGTACCAGTTGAAAGATATTAAGAAAGAGTTGAATATCATACAGTTGAAAGATAAGTAGTTCAATAATAGGTTATGTAATAACCAATTTAAATTATATAATAATAACCAGTTTAAGTTGTACAATAACAAGTTTCAGTTGTCTAACAACCTGTTTAAGTTTAGGCATTTTAAAATGTACCTGCAACATATGCCCCTTAATATCCTTCACCCATGATATCTTAATAATTTTTAACAACTCCTTAAAAGATACAATAATATGTTCCACCAAAAGCAAATTTGAATAATATTATATGAAATTAAAAATTTAAATGCTCATACTCATTAATTGATTATGTATTTGTTAAAATATGTTGAAAAATAAATATATAATTTTGTATTTATTCATTATCAAATATCTGGCCAGAAAGGTTTATTGAATGCAGTGTTTGTCCGTATTTCATCATTTGTTATATAAGATTCCATTTTTTATATAGTTTTAGGAGCATCTGATTATTATCCATTAATTTAGAAGACAATCCATGTTAAATCTACTTTATCCATTAAAAAATTAACATCTAAATTAATTAAGAGTTTATACTTTATGGTAATCGAAAATCAATTAAAGGATAGTTTAATTCACTCAAATACATAGTGATATGAGGATCTGCATCAATCCATTCCTAACTTACAACAGAATTAGTTAAAAGCTCTAATGCTCCATCTCTAGTTAAGAATCTTTTCACAAATATTGTATAGATTTGTGGTTCTATTTAATAGATATCAAGTATTTCAATATGTTTATCATGTTTGGATATGGATTATACTTATATTCCTCCACATGATTTTGACAGAGCTCCTGTTAAACATGAATGTTCTCCCACCTTAAACATACCATATAAATTAAGATTAAGAGACTATGAAGTCCATTCTAATAATATTCGTGCAGAATGTTTAGGTATACTCTTAATTAATCTGAATACATATTTGATTTTTGGCACTCTTCTTTAGAGATCTAGAACAGCGCAAGATTTTTTAAATCCTTATAATATTTTTATTATGATATTTTACCTGCTTTATAAATCAATACTGTATATGAAAATCCTTAACTTAAATTATTAATCTAAGTATTTCCTTATTCATCAGTTTTAACTTCATGTAAATTATTTTCTAATCCTCGTATTATTTGACAGGATTAAGATAAGAATTTGCCTTCATAAACTTCAACAAGCTAATATAATTATCTATTTATACAGCATTTTCTATAGGTGTAAAATCAGCCGAGTTTTCTATTGTGATTTTAACATTGTAAAATTTAAATGCTTGATCTCCAAATTTTTATTGTTCTTTGCTTAAAGGTAACAAAATTCTATTATTTTATTAAGGAATTTAATATAATTCCATTTTTAAATCAAAATCTGCACTAAGTGGATTATCTGAACAAAAATGTAAATTATTCTTATAGAACTTTTCAGCTTCCTCTATATCTCCTTAAATTATAATGCCATCATATGGTAAAGATTGTTCTGAGAATATAGTTTCGGTTACTTCATCATCAATAATTATTTTTAATTTTTCATTATTATATTCTTTTAAAGCAAGAAATTATCCATTTGTTCCAGAAATGGCTAGAGTAATTCTATTTATTTTTATTTATTTACCCATTTTTTGCTCCATCAGATTTAAATGAAATATTCTGTATCATAATTGAGGTAATTGGTTCACAATTTTAAAGATTATAAAATCCTACTAATTTCTCTTATTTATCAAAGTTTTTATAAATTGGAGTTGGCAACACTGTAATTTAATTTAACATGGATTACTATCTATTTTTTATTATTTTATAAATATATACTTGATAATTGGATGTTGTACATTTACTGATAATGAAGGAGTAATATTATATGCTACAACAACTAAAATAGCTAAAATAACAAGGATTATGAAAACGATTCCATCTCCAACTATATGCATTCTAAATTTCTTATAGGACCCTTCAGATAGCATGGCAGCATTAAAAGATTATAAAATTCCAACCATGATTATAAGATTAATCCAAATAGTTAGATTATTGATTTGATTGAATACATATTTCTTGACATTATCACAACATTTCATGTTAAGGCATCCTAATTTATTATTCTTTTAATTGGTTTCCCATTAATAGCTTTACATATCTTATTCACATGGAAGATATGGTGATAATTCTAAATCAAAATATTTTTATGGGCAATCAAATTAGCTACTTAAACTTGTTTCTGAAATAGATTGCATTGCAAACTTACAACCTTTGTTAGTCGAAAGTTCAACATCCAAATCTTAGACTCTTCTAACAAGCAAACCATTAACACAACATGCTAAAATACATATACTTAGGATTATAAATGCTAGTGTAACAAAATAAATTTTGATTCTTTTTAAATTGAACATTGAAACAATCAATGTAGTGATAAATAATGCTAATAATACTAATTTAATAAGAGATATTTCTATATTAGAAGCAGATATTTAAAATAATTATGAATTTATTTATAATATAACCTAAAATAGATATAAAAATATAAGATTACTTATTTAAGGCTGAATGAGGCAAATATCAAAAATAATAGATTGACAATTGAAGTTCCATACACAACTAATCTTTGTATACCATATTCTCTAATATTGAATTATCGACTAACATTTGCCATATATAATAATAGGAATATTTCAAGTATCTAAATTGGCAAAATTAATAAAAATTGATTATAAGAATTGTATTCAATTAGACTTAAAACTAATCCACTTTCAATGGCACAAACCAATTAAGTAAATAAGGAATGAAGGTATGGAATAGTAGAATTAGGTTGTACTTCATTAAAATTAATGGATTCCTCTACAACAGCTTTAGATGTACAACTCCAATAAAGAGAAAATATACAAGTGAATAAAATTGCTACCTTAAATTAATGAAAATAATTTACATTATTGATTCCAATTAACAAATATTCAGTCAAGTTATTAAAGGCATACCAGATGAATCCAATAACAATACTACACAGTGATAATACGATGCATATTGGAGCTATAATTTTGAGTGATGCCAGACTCTTCTACTATACTTGAGTAGAATATTCATAATGATGCCCTATTGCTATATTTTTTGGATTCATAACGATTATATAAAATATTAATAATCATTCAAAATAAATAAATTACTTTTTCTCTAAAGTATTTTTATATAGTTTCTAAGATAGAACAGATATTGGTTATGAATATTTCAAGATTATGAATGAATGTAATACTTGAATGGAATACTTATAATTAAAACTTTTAGTTGATGATAATTTTTTAATTACATAATAAAAATGATGCATTATAGATCCTTATTCAGATTTTCACATTATCCAGTTCTTTAATCCTTGTGTGATAGGGCTGATCCAAATCTTTAAGCTAATTTTGAATTGATGAAACAAAGCAACAACAGATTTTTAAGTATTACTAACAAAGTGATCAATTATGGTGGTACAATAGCTCATCAAAAATTGGCAGAAAGAAATAAAGTAGAAATGAAAAAATGATTAATAGTTTCCAGTTAGAGAAAGAATAACTAGATTATTGGATGTAGGATCTCCATTTTTGGAATTATCTTAATTGGCAGGATATGAATTATATGGAAAGGAAGAAGTACCAAGTGGAGGTTAGAATAATATAGAATGATAGGGATTGTAACTGGAATAGGATTAATAAATAAGAGATTCTGTATGATAGTTGCAAATGATCCAACAATAAAAGGGGGAACATATTATCCAATAACAGTGAAAAAACATGTTCGAGCATAAGAAATAGCATGGGAGAATAAATTACCTTGTGTTTATTTAGTAGATTCTGGAGGTGCAAAGTAATTATATATGTAAATAATCAAGTTTAATGCTTTAAGATGAAGTATTTCCTGATAGAGATCATTTTGGAAGAATATTTTATAATTAAGCTAATATGTCAGCATAAGGGATTCCTTAAATTAGTATAGTACTTGGATCATGTACAGCTGGAGGAGCATAGTAATAATCTAGTTATATATGATTTTTTAAGTGTTCCTGCTATGAGTGATGAGAATGTTATTGTAAGTGGAAATGGTACAATCTTTTTAGGAGGTCCTCCTTTAGTAAAAGCAGCCACAGGTGAAAAAGTAACAGCAGAAGATTTAGGAGGAGCAAGAGTTCATTGTTTTACTAGTGGATTGACAGATCATTTCTGTAGTTCAGAATTAGAAGCTTTATAAAAAGGTAGATCTATAATTAAGAATTTAAATACAAAATAAGTAGGTAATATTATTGATGATTAACCTATTTATGATATTGAAGATTTAAATTATATGATGAGTAGTGATCTCAAACAGTCTATGGATAGTAGACATTTAATTGCAAGAATTCTAGATGGATCTAGATTTATGGAATTTAAAGAATATTATGGTACTACTCTTATTACAGGATTTGGAGAATTATATGGATAAGAAGTAGGTATCATAGCTAATAATGGAATTCTTTTTAGTGAATCAGCATTAAAAGGTGCTCATTTTGTTAGTTTATGTTAATAAAGAGGAGTTCCATTAATTTTCTTATAAAATATTACAGGATTTATGGTTGGTCGTAAATATGAGACAGAAGGTATAGCTAAACATGGAGCTA